CATATACATATAAATGTTAATTGGATAGTCAATGTATCGATATTTTCTTGTCTCTTGATTTTTGAGGTTAAATGAATCCAACTATCTAACTGTTTGAGACCATAGTCCTTCTAATTTAGGTGAGACTGTGTACGAAGTCAAATCTAAAAAAAATAATTCAAAATTGGCGTTAAGTTCAGTATTCAACTATTTGAATGTTAACGAATTAGAGAAGCATAACGAAAAGACCGAATATCCAAGAATAAAGGTTGGATATTTTTTACAATAATGCATCTTTTAGTTGCAGAGTTTATGGAGATTATAAACTAGCAAGATTTTTTCAAAAAGAAAAAAGAAAAAAGAAAATGAATTTAACTAACTACTTTACATCATTATTCTTTTAACTTTGATGCAATTGTGGTAAAGACTCTGGAGTTTAAATCATGTAACTGTTAATAAAAAAAACAAATTTTAGTATCTTCAAGAAGATTATGGTTTAAAAGTAGGGGATTACTTTTCTGATGTAGTATGAGAGAAGTTCTCTCATGTTAAGAGATAAATAAAGTGGGTCCCACCAATTTTTAGAAAAAAGAAAGGTACATCTTTCGAAATATTTTCCGAAGTGAGAATAACATGAGAGATCAATTTCATGCAACATAAGAATATGATTTCCCTTAAAAGCAGTGTTTTAAAATCTCACCCCGCCTCCGGTTGACCCGGGTCAACCCTGACCCCTCCCTTCTGAGGGTTGGGGTCACAAGTTGGACCCTATATGCACATCGACTCCCCGACCCCAAAACCCGACCGGGTTTCAGTGACTCCCGGGTCAGAGGGGGTCACTGCATGTTTTTTTTTTTAAAAAATTTCCCATAAAACAACTTTGTTTTATTAAAAAAATAAAATAAAAATTCTTGCAAACCTAAATCTAATCGTTCTCTTCTCTCCCAGTGACTTATATGTCTTCAATCTTCACCTCGCAGACGTGCATCTTCTAAAAAATGTAAGAATTTTATTTATTCAAATGAAATCCTTACAGTCGTTGATGGAAAACAAAAAATCATTCTTACTTCTTTTAAATTTTCTTTTGTCAGGACCTTCTCCAAAGAGGCGGAACCGAGTCAGCGTATTGATCCCATTAAAATATAAGTTTTGTACTTTTGTATCTTGATACTTTAATTAGGTTGTGTAATATTGACTTGTGGTTGTAATTAGTGAATTATGTTAAGTATATTTTGAATCTTTGATGATTGGTGGTTTGTTTTTAATATTTTTATATATGATATATATATTTATATTTTTTTAATATATAAAACCGGATCAACATAGTGATCTGTGACCCTCCGGTTGAACCTGTGACTCCATGACCCCTGACCTCGGCCGTATCGATGGCCGGGCCGAGTTTTTAAACACGGGTTAAAAGTAATACCAAGTTTGACTTTTCTTTATTTGCCATAGATATTTCATTACCACAACTGAAAATCATAGAATAACCAAACCATGTTAACTCAGTTGGTTAGGGAACTCAGTGTTCGATCTTTTTCAGTATCGTTTTTAGGAGAGGTTTAAAGCTTTAATTCCGAGATCCGCCCCGAATCAGACTAGTCACGAAGCTATGAAACGATTGAAATATCTCAAAAAAAAATAATAATAGAATAAACCAAGATCAATACCAAAAGGATGCGGTAGTTGAAACTTGAAAGAAAAAAATAGCAACAGGTTTGAATGCAGAAGACAGAACATCGAGGATGCTAACATTCTTCTCTTCGAGATAGTCCTATTCTTGGAAGTCCATATCTCCACGTTGTGAAAGCCTACTGAGCTAACAAGTATTATTACTAAGTTGTTTGAAATTTCAATTATTTGAATGTCATCGAATTGCAGAACTAAATTGAAAGTCTCTGTTTTTAACTTCAAAGTTGAAGAGTTTTTCATGATAAAGATTCACTATTTTTATAAATTAATTCTAGTGTAGATGTATGCATCCTATCAACTATGGACCAATTCTACACACAGGTGCTCTGAATTTTCTCTAGATGTATAAACAAGAAACATGTTTAAACGTTCTTTGCTAATAGTGACAGTTGCCAAGTATAAGGTTGAAGAGTCTTCAGGGATAAAATCTGCATTACCTGAAAACGTTGCAAATATGGTCCCGTGTTATGGTGGACTCTGAAATGAGTAGTGGGGTTAGTAACTCTGTACTAAAGCAATAATGCTAATATGACGTGGTGTAGCCGCAACAGTGATATGTGGAATACCTAGCGCACTAGCAGTTGGCTCAAGAGAAGCAAAAGTGGTGGAAGAAACAAGAGACACGTTTAGTATTGGTTTCCACTTCAGCTACAACACCAAAACCATCTTTCCTGTTTATGTTATTTGTTAATGTACCTTTCTTGTTAGGTTCCTTTCGCCATGGAGATATTCACACTCTGGCACTTTTGCAAAAGGCGATCGATTGTCAGTGTCACGTAAGTAGAGGTTTACAAATACAATACTCAAGCAACAACTGAGGATGACAAAAGCTCCTTTGCTTTCCGCTGCATTTTAAACCATAGAACGTGTTGGGAGGCCATAAGAATGATCCTATGCAAAGATAGTCCTTTGCTAAGATTGCCTTGTGAGTATTTGAATTGTCAGAAGCTTTATAACAACATGAAAGCATGCAAATGTCCGTTAGAGGATAAACCGTCGTCAATTCGTAAGATATGATGTGCTAGACGGGTTATACGTAATGGATCCCATCACCACTGTTAGCCGAGTAATATAGGAAGTTCGGAGAATTTCCACCTTCTCAACAGCGTATGAACCGGAGAAGACTTGTCTACTTTCTTTAAGGATCTACAATTGGGTGCAAATCATATGATTATGTTTCTCTCCCTAACGAGTGAAAAGCAAAAAGTTCAGCCACTTTCAAACTTACGTCTCCGAGCTGTGTTATCAAGTTTTTCAACAAACTAGTTTCTAATTTAATTAGCATCCACCCAAGTATTTAAGATTTGGGTGAAGATTTGATGTTCTGCCTAGTTGCATTTGCTTCTCCCCTACTCAGCTGCTTGCACCACTCTAATAAAAATAATAAAAAAGAGGCTAATATAAAATTCATTTGGATTTCATTCCATAATTAAAGTTCCAAATACACTCAGAATGTTCAGAATTTGCAAATCTATAAAATCTGCCATTATTTCATCATTTAAGATGGTCATGTTTTGGATTCCAGTATGGCTGCTACTCTTAAATCCACGATTATGATTTACTGATTTAGAGGACGTTTAGTAAAGGAGAAATTTTTTTTACCAGAAAAATACAATTACTAGAAATTTGATGGAAAAATGAGTTTGATAGGAAAGTCAAAAAAAAATTGTTTGGTTGGCCGAAATTCTACCGAAAAAATTGGGTTAAATTTACTGAGTCTATGTTTGATTGGAAATAAAAAATTGATGGGAAATAAGTTCAAATTATGAAATAACCCTTAATATTTGAATCACAACTACTATTGCCTAATAAAGTAATCGTTGTGCAACATGGCTCTTCAATTCCAATTATGAAGAAGGAGGCAATATCTTATACAAACTTTCAAGTGGATTCCCTTCTACATATGTAAAAAGAGATGCTCTTGAAGAATTTCCAAAAATTAACTTGAAGGAGAATTAGGCAACAGGGAATAGTCGAATTCCACGACAGATTGTCTAATCTTGTATACTTCATAGATAAAATTTTGCTTGTAATATTAAAAACTGGATAATGACAAGTGCAGATCTGCTGAGGCACATGAGGCCAGGAAATATGTTGTAACTCAATACTACGACGAGAGAAAAATATTGAAAATATTTCAAATAAACAGGAGAAAAAAGAACTTTGTATAGTTGATTCAATGTCAGACCGGTGCTTGTAAACTTGACCACAAGCCAAATCGTCAGCAGCTTAATCACATAATCAAGAACCATCCATTTGGACTAGGTGGATTTGCATTATATGGGCTTCCATTTGGATTCAGTGTGTGGTTTAGAACATGCAAAACCACTTGCGATGACCGTTTGGAGATCTTGTGCAACCTAGAAACGGAAAAGCGAGTTCTTGCAGTGATAGCACACACATTTGGTAATGGAAATACTCACTTTCACGCTAGGTTAGGAGAGGGTATATTTGTCCGGTCCTTCGTCCTCTATCCCTCATTTAGCCGATTATCATGAAATACCACATGAGAAGTGGGTATCTTACACAATATTTTTTGACCATTTTTCCACACAATCCTGAAAGACTGGGCAACTAAGTTTGGTAGGCAAATTTTGTATTCTCTTTTACCAAACATGGACAACACATAATACCACTCTCAGATGCCTGGGTATCCTCTCAAAAAACCTATACCAAACACCACCTTAGTGTCTAGAAAGCAAGCTTTCTTCCTTAGCCCAACATAAGCACACTAAATTTTAGTCTAGTTCGATGGGCTTCTAACTCCCAAGAGAAAAATATCCTAACATTTACGTAAAGATTACCTGCATAGGGCATGAAGTGTTCAATTTTGAATCATCTAAAACTGATTCTTTCTTTTTTTATTACAATGTTATTAAATCTCGACCGGTCACTGACTCGGTTAAGATACCAGGTCAATGGATTAATGGTTCAACCAGTGGGTCACTGATTTGTTATATTGCATCAAGTCGGCCCAAAAACATGTCTAAATCCAAAACATTAAAGCATTAGGTTCATAGATTCTTAGTCTTCACTTCGACTATTACCGACCAATGTAGGACTTCATCATACTTGAATATCACTACAATCTCTCGTGCAATACCACTCCAAATGTGACAACACATGATAATACAAAAATGTTACAAAAATGTTAAAATGAAAACGAATTAAAAGCAATAAAATTAATGGCGTGGATAGCATAAACAATATTCAAAACACAACCACAAGGCGAAGGCAACAAAAGAACAGATGAACCTATCCTCATTATCCCTCTAAAATTATTAGTGAGAACAAATGTCATACGCATCAAACTGATATTATTAACCGCAGTATCAAGCTTCTCATTGTTGAAAAAACATTATATGGATATAGAAAAAAGCACAGAAATATTTAAAGGAAAAAAAATAGAACTTTGGTATAACAACAAAGATGACGCGGAACTTCCTATGAAGAGTACAGGGCAAGGACATGACCGTGCATAACATTAACCTTCCTTAAAGTCCAGAGTGGACCAAAACTTGGATGTAGCAAGGAAAACCTTGTGCATTCAATTGCTACAAAAACTATTCTGCAATGAGTATAGTCTTTACCTGGTTCTGCCATCATTCTTGGATGTCGAGTCACTCCATTGGCTCAAAATTTATATCATTCAATTTTGCATATATCAGATAGCCAACTGTCCTCAAGCATCTGCCCAACTAATGCATCCTTCTCCAAAGAATCTTTAGCATTTCGACCCTTCATAGATTGAGACAAAGGCATCACAATTGTTTCTTGTAATACCATATTCGGAGAATATGCCTCTACAGCTGCTGAAGTAAACCAGAATAAATTAAAGAAAATATCAAAAAAGACACCAACTAGATAGATCACATTATATCCGGCAGAAAGTGTATTATAACATCATATGCGAAAAAAGAAAGTCTACTACACCCATCAGAACCAGAACAAGACGATCTTTATGTGTTCCCTCCTAAAGCTAATATGCATAACCCAATTACTTCCGTATGGCTGCACAAACCAGTCCATTTCAAAATGATTATCCTCCCATGGCCAGGTGTCTTGTTTCTCTCCTCTGGTCTCTCAAGCCTCCCTCCACAAGGTTCTCTTCACTGTTGTGACGCTTCCACTACTATTTTTGTTGTAGATATGTATGTACATAGTAGTATAAGTGGATGTAAGAGGTGATCATTTGAATAGATGTATGTGTATCTTTTGAGACAGACTCATCTGGCCAGCTGATAAGCCATGATCCTTGAGGTTGTACCAGACTTTCTGTAGGATGTAATGTCAGGTATCTAGTTCTGTCTTTTCTGATATTTTCTTTAATTTCTTCTGGTTTACTTCGGTAGCTGTAGAGGCATATTCTTCTAATGAGGGTGTTACATTTCTCCACTATTACCTATAACAGCTGCATTTGACAACTCAGTAGCTCTAACAGATGCATTCAACAACTCAATAAAAGATTTACATTATCCCCACTCACAAGGATAGAATAGCCACCACTGCCACTTTGCCCACTTGCAGTAGTCTCTGGATAGAGTGCCATAATATCAGGCGCATTTGTAGCAACATTTACTTTATGATTTGTTGTACAACTAACACTTGGCTCAAGAAGTCCTTCTGATTGCTTGAAGGGGTCCACAGATGGAGAAGCCGCAGTAACAGCTGATTCACCCAAGTCAAGCAAATCAGGAGGAGGTAGATGAATTGTTTTCTCCACATCTACTTCACTTGGTACAACTGCAGCCCTTGATCCCTGAGATCCTACTACAACATTAGCACTAGCTTTTGGAACCTTGTGACTAGTGGATGATCTTTTCTCAGGTTTAGTTGAACCACCAAACAATGAAGCAGCAAGCTTCTGCTTTTCTGGGGAAATCTCAATCTGTGTCTTTCTTGAATCTCAACTATCACGAATTGGCAGCTATTGCAACATCCATCTGAGTTGCCCCATTCGTGACGAATAAGTTAGCCTACCCCACTTCTTCTGAACACCATCAAGCCATAGCTTAAGCTCTGATGATCCATCCACTGATGAGATAGAGTAGGTCTCCCTAGAATACAATGCCTCAGGCATTGAAACAATGTCTCTTGAGGAAACATGGTACCGTTCTGATCTAGGAATTCAAGTGCTAGAATAAATAAAAACAAGAAAAAGGATGTTATCAAAAAAAAAAAAAAAAAAAAAAAAAAACAAGAAAAAGGAAGATTTTCTTTATTAAAGTAAAGAAAGAATACAAGAGCACTCTCTTGCCAAGGGACTAGCCCTTAAAATCTGAGAAAGATTCTCAGCCAAAAACACTCGTAAAACTAATTGTCTTCCTATCTTCTATGAGATTTTCCTTATATCTAAGATTTATTTCATAACCAATTATGTGGTTATATTGCTGTTGAGATATATTCCTACAAAACATAAGCAATTATGTGGTGGACATATTAAAAAACCAATGCAACCATCAAAACAACCTACAGCAGATGATCTCAACTGATTATCTACAAGCAGCATCGTCCTCTCCAATTCCTTCAGCAATAAACCTCATCAAATTATGCGTCAGCTTAATATGTACAGGATCTCCATAATGCTCAAAAACTTCATTCATGGTCTGCATAATCAAAGTACTAGATACTATTAGTCATCAATGAATGTATGTTAAAATAAAAAAACGTAAAATCAAGAATACTAAGGCAACAATTTTACTCGGTGCAAATTGCTCAGCTAGTTTTACACATGGAGATGCTATATAGGTTCTATAATGGTCATGCTAATCAAGTAATCAATCATACGGTCAACAGTCACTAAAACATTAAGCCCTATGTCTATGCTAACAAAAGTCTTAAGCCTACAAAATTGAATAGCTCAAAAGTATGCCTCATTCTAAAGCAATTGAGATCAATTACTGATCCTAAAAAATCAGTTCTAACTGCAAATGTTCAGAAACTTGACACGACAAAATCTGGTTGGGTTTCGCAAGCACAGAGCGATCCATAAGACCAAAGCTAAATGATTTAATCTCTTATTAAATAGTCATAACATATGCATCTTAAAGTATTAAGCATTTTTTTCGAAGAATATCCTCACCTTTAACTCTAACCATCAATTACGGCCAGCTGGTGTACTTCCTAACGGCGTTTGAGTGACCGAGATGCTCGACAGCCTGGGGAAAGCTTGCTTCTGTTCATGAATTCCGTATATAAATTAGTTTATTCTGCGATTTTTATTTTTTAAAACGACTTTTCCGTGCCCTAATTTTATTTTTGGGTTTAAAATTTCTAAAATTATTTCATAATGTTTATCAAAACATATACAAAATATATATGTATATATATATACGTTTAACGTTTCTAAAGTGAACGTAGATAAGTTATCTACATTCGCTCCCAAAACGATGTCGTTTTGAATTAAAAAATTATAAAATTATAATAAAAAAGACTATTATAACCCTGAAATAAATTATAATTACAAAAATATCTTAATTTCCGTCTGAAAAACGACGTCGTTTTGAACTCAATATAGATAACTTATCTACATTGACAGTAGAAAAAGCGAACTCATATATATATATATATATATATATATATATATATATATGAGATTTATATAGACTAATATAAAAAGAAGATAAAGAGAAAAAAATATAGACTCCATATACTTTTATATGTGGGCTTTTTGACCCTTATGCCCCTTAATTAATAATTAATTACCAAATTCCCCTTCATTCAAAACTATTTCAAAAATTTACCCTCCCCAACAAACATAACACCAATCTGCCCCTGTTTGACCGTTGACCACGAAGCCTACCCGGGTACACCATTACCTACCCGGGTAAATTTTGAAACTTTTTATCTACCCGAGTATGTAGGGGTGTACCCGGGTAGAGTTCTTGAATCTGGGAAAATGTTTGAATTATTTACCCGGGTAAGGAGCAGTGTACCCGGGTAAACATCGACGGTAGGGTTTTAAAATACCCCAGCAGCCCCATTTCGAAAACCCACAAAAGGGGTACCCGAGTAGAGCTGTTGGAGGAGTGTCATCTTGAGCGATTTCAGGCATAATCTTGCACTAATTCGTCTTGTTTGTGATCATCATTCGCGGACCTTGCAACCTCTCTGCCTTCTACCGATTGAAATCGATCAAAGGTGCATTTTTTTTTTTAGTTTTTTCAATTATGTTATGATTTCTGTTCTGATTCATTGTATTTTCGTTTATATCATTTGATTTTGTCCGAATTATTTTATCAATTTGTATGTCATACGCTTACCCTAACCCTAACCCTAACCCTGAATCTAACCCTAACCCTAACCCTAACCCTAACATGTATCTAATTTCTGATTTTGGTTATTTTTTCAGTTTAATAGTGTGACACAATGACCTCTCGACGCGTTTCAAAGCTGCAAGTGACCCATTCCGAGAGAAGAACCAAGAGTCGTCACGATGGGTCGTCATCCTCTCAGCCCCAGGCTGCTTCGAGTTAGGCTCCGGACTTGACGTTCGGATATTTGTTTGAGGATGACATTCCTTCACACGAGAAGTTCGTGAAGTTTTTCATGACCCGGAAGATCTGCGAACCGAAATCACTGGATTCGGCATTCTTCAACCTAGAGCGTTTTGACATTGTGCCGCTTTTTGAGCAGACACATTTACTTCACCTGGCGGAGATGCGGTGCCCATACTCGGAGGTTATGGTAAGAGCCTTCTACCAGAACCTTGGCTACTCGCAAGGCGAGCTGACTTCCCGTGTCTGCGGGGTTGATATCATCATGACTGCTCCTATCTGGACGGAGCCACTGGGGTTCGATTTTGATGGTGTCACAGGAGCAGCACTATATGATGGAGACAACCATCATATATTTGGTGATTATAACCGGGAGACCATTGTTACAGAGACTAGGAGGGCAGACGCTGAGCCCGGTCATTTTGCTCATTATCCTGTTAGCAACTTGTCAGTTTCTGCTCGCATTCTTCATTATGTGGTGACACATATTATTTTCCAGCGCCCGCATAATCACTCAAAGGTGCTGGAAGGGGACTTTGTCATCCTGTGGGCCCTCCTTCACAGTCAGCAGGTGAACTGGAGGCATTACATATGCATACTGATGTGGAAGGCATCCAAGTCAAAGAAGGCTGAATTGCCTTTTGCATTTCTGGTGCAGAAGATTCTGCATAGATTTGGAGTGCCTACGGCAACAGAGACCTTGAAGACCGCCAGAGGCTGGAATGCTATATTTGGTGAGAGGCTCCTGAAGCAGTGTGGGATCCTACCGAACAGAGCGGGTATCTGGACGTGGAAGAAGGCACCAGAACCACCTGAGATCCCATTCCACCACGATGCTGAGATGGAGGATGCACCTGCAGGTGATGTGTTGGTCTTGTCTGTATAAACCCGACATTCATCAAAACATTGATTTGTATCAAGTTTGAACACAGAACCCACATTCACCTCCGTCATAAACTTCAGCCAATTTGGCAAGAATGCGTACGATTTCTCCCAGTCACCAAACAACTTAACGATGGCCTTCATTTTTGCCTTCCAGGCCTTCCTGTACGTTATGTTGTATCCATATGTTCCTTGTATCCTCTCCTGTATCAGAGCTGGTCTTGTGGATGGATCTTCCTTTAACATATCTGGAAAAAAAAATAACTTTACCATATTCTCAATTAATCTGAATCATTAAATACACAGTAGAATACATACTCATTATAGCCGCACAAATGACATTTGAATCCAACTGTCTATGATCCTGTGCTAGGCCTTGATTTAGGCATGTGTGACCTTGACCCCATTTACGGACCACCCAATTAGCTCCCTTCTTCGGCTTAATTGCCCTCATATACCAGGGACAACCGTCAGCATGGTTTTTACACTTCATAACAAATCTTGACTCGTCGCTTTTTTCAACTATGGCTGTCCTGCGCCCCTTCATACAATGTATCTTCACAGCATGTTGCAATTCTGGTTTGGACCCAAATTCTTGTTGCACAAATAACGGATCTCCTAACTTCCAACCTCCGTGCAAGTCATCATCGCCATATAGGATCTCCAACTCGTCATTAGGGTGCGCCCAGTTAATGAATGAATAATATTGGCTTTCATTCCAGAATGGCTCCTCAGACCCTGCATCTAAAGATCAACTCTCATTTGTCTGAATGAATACCACCACAAATAATAAATTGTCTAAAGCAAATGTTCAAATTTAATAACTTACCACTACTGACTGGGTCGACATGAAGTGGTGACAAGGCTGGGGTACCAAGACTTACGGCGCTCATGTCAGCCTCAAAATTACCGTCCACGTCAGTGTCTGACGAATCACCTTCTGGAATAGCACTTTCAGGTTCTCCCTCATCTTCGCTGTCCACATAGTCCTCGTCTTCATCCTCATCCAATGCTACCTGAGGAGGTGCAGAAGATCGTACAACTGTATCTTCTTGACCGGTACAGTGTGCAGTAGTGGTTGTATGCACCGGTAAAGATGAAGATTGTCCAACATCAACTTCAACATATATCTCAATATATTTTAATACTTTCCATTCAACAAATGCATCTGTTACGAACTCCACATCTTCATCATCATTTATATCGTTTCCAATGTAGTATATTGTATCCATATCCACTACAGTCTCTAACCTGGCTATCATGCGGTGGATGAAATGTATGCCTTCTGACCCCATTTTTTGAAGAATTCTCTCCTTCAGTTCATTGCATGTAGTGCCCACTTTGATTTTCATCGTTTTTGTTTTTCCTTCAAATCGGACACCGTTCGGACCTTCAAAATGCCTCCCATTGTAGTAAATAACTATAGGAACCATGTTTGGACTTGAACTCATCTTTCACACAAAAATTAGATCTAGGTTTTGGGTTTGGAGGTTGGTTCGGATTTTTTAGCACAAAATGGGAGTGTGGAGATGTAATCTCAATGTCCCACCAAGATTCAGCTTTCTGAAATGATGAGATGAAACGTGTGATGTTTCGGATTAGAGAGGGTAAGAGAGAAAGATTTGGGGTTTCAAAAACCCTATACCTCGCAACAATGGCCGAAACCCATACATATTGGGGTTTCTGGACGCGATTTACCCGGGTACACTGCTCCTTACCCGGGTAAATAATTCAAACATTTTCCCAGCTTCAAGAACTCTACCCGGGTACACCCTACATACTCGGGTAGATAAAAAGTTTCAAAATTTACCCGGGTAGGTAATGGTGTACCCGGGTAGGCTTCGTGGTCAACGGTCAAACAGGGGCAGATTGGTGTTATGTTTGTTGGGGAGGGTAAATTTTCGAAATAGTTTTGAATGAAGGGCAATTTGGTAATTAATTATTAATTAAGGGGCATAAGGGTCAAAAAGCCTTTATATGTGTATTTAATAAACATTATATAAATTTATTTAAATCAATTTCAAAAATTTAAACCTTTTAATTTTTATATGATTGTAAAAAATTTAGATTATTTTGGGTACTCACGAGGGGATAGGTCAGATTTATAAGGTTAATAGGAATTAGGACGATGTCGACTATTTTGTAAGTGTTTTCAATAGGGTAGCTTTTTTGAGGAGTAGATTTTCTTATATTAAAAATTTACATTATTTGATTATTTAAAAAAATTATGTTTATTTTTCTCTTCACATATATTAAATAAATTAATTTAAATTATAATTTGTCTAATATTAATAAAGAATGAGATAAATTCAAAAAATTTACATTATCCTCTCATGTAAATTTTTAACATTTGAGAATCCATTTCTCTTTTCCACTCTCGCAAGTTTAATAAATTTTCCAGTTTGTATTTAGGGTACGCATGACAATTTTCTCGGAATCAATTCTTTTTTAATTTCTGTTCTCACGAACAGAAATGGATAGGAAACTCGTTTGATAAACCGGTTTCTTTTCTTGTTTCCGGGATGAACCAGATTCACTTTTGTGCTGGGAACAGAAAAAAGAATCAAAAAAATTCTGTTTTTTTGTTCCCGGGCTCAAAATGAGAAACATTTATCTCTCTCAATCACTCTCTACCTCTACCATCATCACCACCACCACCATCATCCCGACACGACTGTCGCCACCATCGTCGCCGCCGCCATCGTACCACTAGTGCCGCCGTCACCACCCCTCACCACCACGATGTCACCACCACCATTACCACCACCTCCACCCATCACCACCACCATGCCACCACCACCACA